CTTGGTGAAATCTTTTTTAATAGCTGAATGAGAAGTGGAACCTGAGCATGGAAAATACGATGTTGCCCTGCTTCTCGCTGGAGAAATAATGGTGGATGTTATTTCTGAACTTAATTAAATTGCCCCTAACAGATAAAAAGGGGATGACACCACCAGCAGAATTTTTAAACCAAAATACAAACAAACTTCTCTTCAATCTCCAGCCTTCTTCTGTTGTGCAGAGCACAAAACCTGATGATGTTTTTCTTTCTAAAGGCCATTGGGAAGGTCTTCTGAAAGTTGCAGTTTAACACAGATGTTCTTTCATGTCTAGTGCCTTTGTGAGTTTGTGATTAGTGGTAGAATATTTGACCATTTCTTCGCATTAGAACTCTATTTTGGTTTCTGCTGCAGAGGTCAGGTTCAGCGTGCATCCGTCTTGGCCATGCCAGGTAGGGCCTGAATTGCTTCTTTCCTTTAGATGAGGAGAAATGATTGCAGTGGGAAACAAAAAGTAAAGTAGGGTGCAGGATCCTCCAGTGTAGCCTGAAGGCTGGCAGCTCTCGAGGTAGTGATAATTGGGCTGAAGAGACTGTGTTGTGGCTGTTACCTGTCTTTGGCAGCAGGGTACTTTCAAACATGGTTATGCTGGGACTTTATTTTAAAATGAAGACTAATTAGGTGTTCCCTGGTAAGAATGCAGTACTCTAGTCTTCAGGACAGTAAATTTTTTTTCTTTTTTTCCACTGCAACTGCAGCTTTCTTAAAGTAATTTTTTAAACAAAGGGAAGAATTGTACTTCTAACTTGCACAATGCATTCATTATATGTTAAAGTGTATCAGTGTGTGTATTAATATCAGTTAATGATCTTTATTAACAATTAGTTCAGTCCAGCTTACAAGTAATAGTGACCAAAAAGAAATGCTGATTTTTTAAATTTTTTTTTTTATTATTTTTAACTACATTCAATAAACCAAGATTGGTTTCTAGGGTTTTTTTGGCTTCAGAGTATATGTATGATTTAAAGGAACTCAGCTGTGCAGCTGTGACACACGATTAGAGTAGTGAATTAAACTGGGAAAATTCTGCTGCAGGCAAAACCTGCAGTATCCTCCAGTGCTTGTAACAATGAGTAGTTGATAATGAATATCAACGTAAGTCAGATGCAGTAAGAGAAGTAAAGAACACTGCTGAAAATAGTAAAAATTATAACATTCCTTATCTGTTTCTTTTTGCTTGCTGCAGTGAAGTTGAAAAAAGTAATAGCCTGTGGTAAGGTTGGTTTTAGTGGATACCCCTCCCTATCTCCAAGACTTGTGAAAGTGCATGGCAAACATACAATAACGTGCTAATTATGTTGTTGTTAAGAATTAGGTGACTCCCAAGGTGGGTGAAGGAAATAAAGCATAAAACCTTCATCACTGCTGCCTTTTTAGGGTAGTTGGCATTTGCTCTTTTGAAGTTCTGATAGTACAGGCCATGTCTGAGGTGGCACAGATTCTTCTAGCTTATGTGTAGTATAGAAGAAAAATACATTTTCAGGTATGGAACAAGCTTAGAAAAAAAATGTAGAGACTTGCTGGCACATATATAGTATAGCTAGCTGAAATGATATATAGGAAGCCACTTACATGAATTAATTACCCTGGTTAGTTGGCAGGAACTCCATTTTTATTTTTCAACTAGTCATATATATTCAGTTTCAGACTGCAATATAGACCAAGTGCACACTTTTAAAATCCCAACATTTTGTTGGTCTTGACCATAGTAATGTGTGCAGTCTAATGGTATGAATGATTAGGAGGTACCGAATTAGTTAAGAAATGAATGTATCAAATTCTTCACAACAGCACTAAAAATAAACACAGTGAAACACTGTAGTGTACAGCTCTGAATATTCTTACTTCGGTCAGTATTAGCTTGCCAGTCCCTCAGCTTCCCCTCCTGTTTGCGTGCTCTGGTTTTGAGCTCTTAAACAATTTGTGATACTGTTTAACAGGCCAAAGACTATTTGGGTGCAGCTAAATGAGTAAAATCAACTAGCAGAGGAGATAAGGCTATAATTTGCTCATTAAGTCAAAATCTTGATGTTATTTTAAGATTTTTTTGGTCATATTTTATAGCTTCACACTTTCTCAGACTTCACCAACTGTGTGTGTTCTAATGCATAAAAGGGGCTTTAAAGCAGCCCTTAGGATAGAGTATGGCTTTAGAGATAAAATGTTAAGCAACGGCCTAATCTTAGATACAGATTAAATACATAATTAGGGAAATACTCTTGGCAGAGGGCAGTCTCAGTAGGGCTCTCAAGATGTCTGCAAAATATTTTCAATGTGAAGGGAAATGAAAAGCAGTCTTCACATTTAAAAAAAAACCAAACCCAAAAACCAACAAAAATGTCTCTGTAGATGAAAGCCTCGGATGACAGTGATGATGACGAGGACGAAGATGAATTTGTGGAGGTCCCTGAGAAGGAAGGTTATGAGCCCCACATTCCAGACCACCTGCGTAAGGAATATGGTGAGTTTGCCCAGCTGTGACAAGCTTTATCCCTGCATGTTACTGCTGCACTAAAGTAAATAAACAGCCATTCTGAAGTAATAAAGTGATCAGCAGTGTGGGTAATCTCCGACTGCTATGAGGAAGTCATTACATGGATACAGGAGCAGCGATTGGCTCTAGATAAACAAATACTTTCTAGGAGCAAGAGCAACTGAGATGAGAAGCTTATTTCATTCCATCATGTTCCACTGTAGTTTAGAGCCAGAAGCAGCACCATGTATGCTTATAAGTGTGCTAAAAACATACTGAGAGCGAAGGGATTGCAAAGTAAAGCCGTAAATGAGCCTGAATATTAGAAATACTGGTAAGAGTCTGGTGAGATGGGGTAAGGTTTTGTACTATCACCTGCATTAACAGCAGCTGGAGAAGTGCAGCCACTTCTTCCCATAGGATGACCAACTTACAGTTCAGAAAGAAGGCTTTTTTTTTGTCTGAGCGTTGCTATCACAAGATGTTAAATGGAGCTCAGCCTTCAAGTGCAGGATTATAGCCACTGAGCACGTACCAGATGACAAAATATAATCATGCCTTCTTGTAATGCATTCTAAAGATAATTTCTTAAAATAAAGATATAATGTGCTTTTGTGAAATTGAGAGGGGAGTTACTGAGGAAACTTCACCTTAAATAATTAAATTTCAGTGCATTACTCCTTGTCCTTTGTACATCTAGCTTATTAAGTGTCTGTAGCTTTGCCTCTGTGCAGCATTGTGTATTTTAGGATTCAGAAGATTTCAGTACATTGTAGAGAAGGAGAGGGTAGCTGCCATCACATAGAAGTTAAAAACCTTGGACACTGTATTAAGTTTCTTGCTCCTACATTTCTCCATGAGTATTTGTGTAAGACTGGTGCCGTGTTGTGCCTTTTTCAATCCTGTTCATGCTTATCTTTAACTTATCTGCAGTTTGCATCATAAAAGTCAGGCTGCAGCCATTACTTGTATAAGCCAAATGTTTCTTTTTGCTGCAACGAGGGGGTGTGCCTGTGTAAACCCAAGATGATGGAGCTCAAGTGACCTTTTTACTGCCTTCTGCCATCAAATTTAGCCACAGACCACGAAAGGTGGTCAGTAATGATAACCTGTAGTGGCTGGGGTCAGTTCAAGGATGTCTCCAGGTGTGAAGGCTAGTGCCTCAGTCCATCTACCCCATCTAGACTTAACCTACCAGGATATCCTGGGAAGTAAGGCCTGCATTGATTATCTGTGTTCCCCACCTAAGGACTTGCAGCAAGTCCAACTGGCTGGTTCCAGGTTGTCTGAAGGAGGTAGATGTCTCTGTTCCTCCGTGCCTTTAAAAAAATGTGGAAATTAGCAACTATACAGAGGACTGAGATTAGACTAGCGCCCTGATGAGCTGGCAGCTGCAATGTCGTTTGGCATGACTTTTAGCGTATGTGTTGCTTGAAACGGTCTGTAGGTGCTTACGTTGTCCAACCAAGAGTTGGGGAAGGTGAAATGGAACTGGGAGTATTGAGATAGTGAAATGGGGAGTGGATGTGTATGTTAGATGAGAACATAGAACAGTGATGAAGGGCTGTAGGATGCAGACTCAGGAACTGGGCATCTCTTTATTTTTTGTTCATGGAAAAAAAATTACGTATTTTGGTAAAATTTTACCAGTATATGTTGGCTATCCCAACTGCCTCAGTCTTGCAATAAACACTGTTCTAATTCTTGCTTCTAATTATTGCTAACAGTGGGACTGTCAAAAAAGGAATATAATGGAAGAGAGGGGTAGCAGCCTTCCAGACAGTTGTGAAAAGCTTCTTATGTATACGTGGCTAATGAAGGAGTCCAAAAACATTGGTGCGATAGTAAATGAATGAGCAAATGAGGTTAGTTATTAACATAGCTATGGTGGTTCTTTGGTTTTTTTTCCTTCCTTTGGCAGTATTCCTTGTGCCAAAACTGGTATTTTCTTAATAATTCCAGGCAGTGGAACTTGTTTTTCATATCTTTAACAGCAGCCTGATGAATCCTAACATGTGAAAGTTCTGTTTATGCTTGTCAGCTTCCACTGGAAGTGAAATGTACTCATCTCTTCCCTCTCTCCCTTTCCTCCCCTGTCTTCCTCATGGACACATATTTTTAAAAAATAAAGCATCTTACCACCCTTTGTATCACACTAACACAATACTTTGCTGCTATTTGCATTCCTCCTCATGCAAAAGGATGAAAGGACCAGCCTACTATCTACTCAAGGATATTTTAAAAATCTATATAAAATGGATTAAGAAATTCCCAATTTGTATTTAAACCATTGCTGATAGGAAAATGTATTATAGTGAAGAAGCCAATCAATCAGAAAACAAAACCTCTCTCATTTTGTATACATGTAGTTATGTAGGAGCTAATGGCCACACTTGGCTGTTCTTTATCTGATGTGTTTGTTAAAAATATCATTTTGAAAGAAATGAACCATTCTTGATGTTCCTGAAGGCATTCAGCTTTTCTTGCTGATGTTTAAAGTTACGATGTAAGCTCCTAGTTCAGGAAAGTCTGAAAAGCATCCAGAATTCCTGAAAGGAATTGAGGCAATCTTTTAAGCATGCGCTTTCTTCTATCTTTGTGTACTTAAGTGCTGTCTTGGACCAGCTGGTCAGTTACTAGTTCAAAATCTATTTCAGAAGCTGATATATAACTTTTGCATAAATCAACTGACTTCTATGTAATTACTTCGGGTCTGCATGAGGAAAACGGAGAACTATATTTGCTCTACTGGATTCCGTTCTGCATGTGTTTTTAATAAGCAAAAACAAAATGAGCATCCCTTTGGCACATTTAGAAAAGTGAATTATCATATTAAAATACACAGAATATATTGATTTCATAGCAGGCTGTTGTCATCAAGAGTTGGCTGTGTTAGGCAGCCACCTCTCTAATTAAATATGGTTCTTCGTTCCATATGCAAGTGCAGTTATCATAGCAGTGACTTTAGCTTTACCTTAATATAATCCAGGTGGGGTTTTGCTACATTTCTTTAGTTCACATTCAGTTCATGAGGACTCCGAGCTAAGAAAATGAAAGTCTGTGCAAGTGGAATGTTCTAACTGCAATGTTAAACCTTCCATGTAAAATAAAATCTCAGTGCTATGTAGAAGGTGTGAACAGTTTAAAGGTTTTTTTTTTCCTTCTGTTGTTACTTTTCCTGAACAAACTAGGAAAAGTGAACAGCTCCTCAGAATAACTTTTTACACTAAACAGGAAAACCAAGTTGTAAAACATGACTGTGGAAATGGATTGAAACATGACATTTTAAATTATTGATTTAAAAGTCACTTCATTCCCTTTCACTTCTCTTAGGAAAATGGAAGTATTCTACCAACAAGGTAAACTTCAAGCTGCGATGCTATTTCTGATGATGCATATGTGTACTTGTGGTTCTCCGGAGATCAGAAAAGTTTGTGAAAAATGAAAAGATATTTAGAGGCAGGGGAAGTTTTATATGCATAAATATATAGACATGTGCAGTTGTATTATCTATGTGTATATGTAGTTGATGACTGTGATCTCAAAACTGATAATATTTAATATATAAGATGAATTGAGCATGGGTACAGTTTGGGTGGAGGGAGAATTAAACAAGTCAATTTGAATCTCCATGTATAAGATGAAATGTAAATTTGTTAAAAGAATTTAGGTGATTAGATAACTGAAGTGTGAAGATATAACCCATTAGGGGTGTCATGCCAAATTAGCATTACCAGACTTTTAACGACCTCCCATTTGTATAATCCTTATTTACACTTGCACCTGATGTCTGCAACAGACAAGAGACTAGCCATCCGGTGGTACCACAGAGCCGTTTTAAATACGTTGCACTGCTAAAGAGGGATATTGGGCTGAAGAAACAGCGCTGCGAAAATAATTTTCACAGGGTTACTCTGGTTCTCAGCACCCTGCACCAGTGTTGCTTATATCCATTGCCCTTGTATGGCCCCTTAAAAATTGAGGTGTTACTCATTTAAAAGAAAGTTTTAGGGAGACGCAAAATCTTGTTTCCACTTGAGATTTCCCACGTTCCAGCCTTTGCTGGTCAGCTGTCAGCTGCATTGGCTTAAAGCCTTGAGGTGGGTAAAGTAAGGGATGGAACTGTGCAACTTCTGACGTCCTTCTTGTCCATGGACAAAATTTGGTGCTAACACCAGGGTAAGAGATTCCTTTCTGCTCTTGGTGGCCTTGGCATAGCTTGCAGCTGAGCTCTGAACCGCATGGGGAAGTGATCCGTTTCGAGACATGTGCTCTTCCATGTAAAAATGGAACAATTCTTGGATCTAGTTCAAAGCACCCACCTCCAGCAACTGTTGTCTACTAACGGGTTTTCTCAATTCATAGTTCTTGTCTGTGTCTCAGTGCATGCATTCATGAACTTACTTATGCAATATTACTTTGAGGTACAGGGAAGTGCTGTTGCCGTTTTACAAGCAGTGCCATGAGGAAGCTGTCTGACTTGGGAATATTAGCATGGAAGCAGTCTACCCATTATCAACTTTCATCCTTATCCAAAATGATATGAGAAATGACTGTACAGTCAAGAACACAAGCCATTGTTTCAAATCTGGTTAATCAGATTATTTCTCTTGTATTTGAGCCTTAAGCCAAAATGTTTCTAGGTTCCTGATAGTCACTTCGGTGGTTCACATTGCATCTTAAAGGCTGCTTGGGATTTCTTTCATATCAGGATCAAAGCTGCAGTTCTAAAATCCCAAGGGTTAGCTCTATCCATTTAAGAAATTCTTCCCTCTTCCCATCACAGTGATGTGCCTTTGTGGGTTAGATGTCCCCACCCTGTCCTTCCTAATCCAATGGTGTCTGGGTCATGCCTTTTCTGTGTGTTAAGTAGCTTTTTTTTTTTTTTTTAGTATGAAATGTCATAGCAACATGGGAAAGAAGGCTTATACCCCAATTGAACAAATAAGGTGTACAAAACCAGACTGTTTCCTTAGTAGAGAAGTCAC